ACCTTTGTCAGTCCCTCAGTAAACAAGAATGTATTAAGAGGTTACAATATGCCAGGTACTTTGCAAAATGCTGAGATTACAAAGAAAGGCAAAGACCATTCCTGGTCTCAAGGAATTCACATTCTAATGTGAATACATTAGAAGACAATAACTATGGCACATACAACAGATGTAAAATAATCTCATTTGAGAAGGCAAGAGAAAGGATACAGAGTGGTATTCAAGGATTGTAAAGTGAACGGAGGAGAAATAAAATGCAAGAAGGTTGGCAGAGAAGGAAAATGCAAGGTTGTAAAGATGTTTAAATGCCAAAGAGGATTCAATGTCTGATCCTGAAGTTAATAAGGAACCACTGGATTGGGGGGAGAAGGAGGCAAAATAAAGAGTGTTATGTCCAGTTCTATGCTTTAGAAAAATCATTTTGGCAACCAAATGGTGCATGGATAGAGACAGAAGAAACAGAAGGCAGGGAGATCAATTAGAAGGCTACTGTGATAGTCCAGGTAAGGAATATGGAAAACGTAAACCAGGACTGTGATGATGAGTGGAAAAAAGGGAATATATACGAGAGTTGTTGTGATTTTAGAAATTAGATGTGTATATTAAATTAAAAGTGATGATCTGAGGATGACACCAAGGTTGTAATCCTGGGCAACTGGGAAGAAGTTGGTGCCTTCAATGGTAATAGGGAAGCTGGGAAGAGGAAGTGTTTGGGGGAAAATATAAGAAGTTATATATTTTGAAACTTAAAGAATATCCAATTTGAGATGTTTAAGAAAAAAGTTGGTGGCATAAGACTAGAGCTCAGCAGACAGACTAGGCCTGGACATATTGACCTAAGTATCATCTACATAGAGATGATAATTGAATCTATGGGAATGGAAGCTGACAGTATCATCAAACAAGATAATACAGAAGTTAAGAGGGCCTGGGACAGATGCATAGGGTTACCTATAGTCAGTAGAGATCACACAGGTAAAGATCCAGCAAAGGAGACAGAGAAAGAACAGTCAGACGAGGAAAATCAGGTAAGAGTACTAACAAGAAAACCAAGCAAAGAGAAGATCGTCTACAATTTCAAATGCTGAAGAGAGATCAAGGAGGATGAACATTAAGAAAAGGCTACTGGATTTTGCAATTAAGATACCAATGATAACTCTAAACAGGGCAATTTCAGTAGAAAGTTGAAATCTAAAGGCAGCTAGTAGAAGATTAAGAAGATAGAAAGAGAAGAGTGAGAGGAGAGGAAGAAGAAGAGGCAAGAAGGGGCAGGCACCTAGTTCATATGGCTTTCTCAGAGTTTTACTGAGAAAGGAAGGAGATATAGGACAAATGCATGGAATAATCCAATTATTATTTTCTCAAGATTAGCTTTATCTTATTACTATCCAATCTAATTGTTGAAATTAAGTGAAGCATGACAGAAAGAATGCTGACTGCAAATAGGACCGACCACTATTGCAATCCTGCTTCTCATACTTGGTGCTACTTAAAAAGAGGCAGTCACTTAACTTTTCTGTTTCTCAGTTTCTTCCTCTGTAAAATGGGGATAATATGTATAGTGCCAGTATATATAAAACAATTTGCAAATTTTGAGAGCGTACTACAAATGTAACTTATTTTTGTTATGGGAATCCCTTGAGAAAATTTCACGAGGCAAGGAACGCTCATCAGCGTCAAACACAACAGAGCTTAAGGAAGATGAGACTTTTGAACTTGCATGGGAGTTCACTAATGACTTTTACATAAATGTCAGCCTTTGTTAATTTTGCTGTTATTATAACTTATAGTTTCTATAATATTTCTCTTTTATATCAGCATAAATGGCTTTTTATAAAGCCAACAGCATTACAGCAGTAAATTCTAGAATTATCCCAAAGTAAATTAAGTCTAAAAATACTACAGAAGTCATATTAACTAACAATTACACAGTAATATCAAAATCAAGACATTAAAAAACTGTATTAGCCATCTTAACACTTGTATACTTAAACTTTTCTCTGACTTTATTTGCTTTCACATGACAAATTACTTTGTCACTGTAGAACTAAACTTTCAGACTAATAAAGATGAAGTATAAAACTGTGCTATAATGTCACTGGACAATGTTTTCAGTTTACTGCCATTTCTTTTACATAGATTTAGTGAGCACACTAATTATATTTTTGGTGAATATTTCACATCTTACTAGAAACTGCAAAAAAAATATTGTCAACCAATTACCACAGTGAAATATTTACAAGAAAAAATACATGATATATTTGGCAACAATTTGTTTCAAGAACATGTAAGAGAAGTGCTGCTAAAGAGAACTATCTAAACTTAATTTTTTTTAAAAAATTCAGTATTTTAAATGAAAAAGGGAATCCTTTAAAGGAACCCTTCCTTGAACTCTTCTGAAAAGTGAAAAAACTTCTCTATTTGGTTCATAAGTCAAATTTTATATTAAAGCAAGATACAATTCTTTATGAATTAAAAAAAACACACAGATAACAGAAAATGCTGAACAGGTAAATTCCAATTCAATGGATGTTATAATATTTGGTTTTATAAGACCAAGGTAATTTCATTGTGTCAATAGACCCTGACTACTGAATCAATTACAACAGACTTTAAGAAATAAAAATTCTGTATAATACTTTCTTAAGAAATAAAAATTCTGTATAATTACTTTCTTATCCACGTAGGAATCAATTTCTATAGTACACTGTGGTTTTTATATTATTTCTTAAAAAAAGGAAAGAAAAGTGCTTTGTTTTAACACAAAGTAAAATAAAGGTTAGATGAAATTACTGGTATATTCCACTGTAATGTCAAAAAACTGCATGCTTTTGCTTTTCTATACTTATAGTTCAGTGTTGATGAATTTAAGATTAATACAACAAAATACCTAGTATACAAGAGATGTAAAACTATAACTCTTTCAAAGTTGAAAAGGGACCCTGTTCTAATTAGTTTAATCCTCTCTGTTTATAGATGAAGGAAATAACATCCAGAAGGGCAATGTGGAAACCTAAGGGCACACAGTTAGCAGCACAGGTAAGTTCAAAGCCCTGGTTTCCAGATTTCTAGTCCTAAATGTACTTGAGTTATACTTATTTAAGTCTCAGCCAAGAGCAAGAATTATCAATAAGCAATCAAACTGTCAACATTGTGAGAAAACCATATCAAAGAAACAAGCAAACACAGCAAGCAATTTATTTAGAGGCACTCTTCCTAATTTACGCTGGAACTTTAACACAAATGTTATTGGGGTGGGGGGGCAGAGAGTCTCAGTAGTTTCCACACAACCTCACTAAAATACTACTAAAAATAAGTACCTATAAAGTAACTTTTGTTACTTTATGTCAAGTCAACAAGCATTTACATAACAGCAAATACTTTGGCAGTATCAATTTATTTAGTGAACCCTCTACTATCATACGGCTGTATTAACCTAAATTCTACCAACAAATATTTACATATACACATTACAATAACTGCTATTCACAATGACCCACAAGAATATAAGAACTTGTGCCATATCAACTACCAAAGAAAGATCAAATTATATACAAAAGTTTTAGCATCAGGTACATTTTATCACATTCTAATCTCTGAAAACTGTTATGCACGGCCAGACAACAGAAAGTTTATTGTATTTTATCTTGAAAGTTTTAAAAAACATATAATATACCAAATTATTTCTTTAATATTATACTCAAGCCAGAAGCATGTCCACCTTGAGGTGATGAACAGAGCAAATTTAAAAAGTGGGGCTTATGAACAAGACAACTACATCTACAAACAATTGTAGCCAGTAAAATATAATCTCAAAATAAAAATGTGACTATCATTATAAAGAATTACCTATAAACAGGGTCAGCGGAATACCAATAAAATGTAAATCATGAGACGTGTAATTCATCTTGACACTAATACTACAAGTATCATCATTAAATTTACTATATTTCATAAACTGTTCTTCTAATCAACATGGGATATTAAAAAAAGAATAGTTATTTTCCCAATTGCTTGTTAAGCATATGTAATCAAAACCATTACCAAACATAACCAAGAATAAAGACTAGTATATGATCCAAAAAAAAAAAGAATGGAGCTATAAAACAAGAGGGAAAGGAGGTCTCTGGGAGGAAAAGGGAGGGGCAAAAAGAGGATGCACATGGGAAATGAAGAGATTAATTTCCTTCACTCCTAATTATTTGATACTCATTAAAAAGATTTTATGTTGTTAATTTCTTAAGAATTTACAACTAGAGGCAGCTAGATGGCGCACTGGATAGAGCACCGGCGCTGGATTCAGTAGGACCTGGGTTCAAATTTGACCTCAGACACATAACACTTAACTAGCTATGTGATCCTGGGCAAGTCACTTAACTCCATTGCCTAGCCAAAAAAAAAAAAAAAGAAAAAGAAAACAAAGAATTTCCAACTAACTCCTGTGAAACTCCCAATTCAATATATACAAGTACAAAAGTATGTATTTCTTCTAGCCAATAAAGTGGTGAAATCAAATGAAGGCTATAAGTAACCATTTTTCTGCTTCATGACTTTTTTTCTTGCTTTCATCAAACTACAACTAAATAAGAACTGGAAAAACAAAATTTTGAATGATTAGCATTATCACACTGAAGAATTGTATCCAAAATTAATACAAAGAAAACTGGAATAAAGTATAGGATAGTGCTTCAAAGGGGTCTTTGCCAAGTATGTTTAGCTACTATTATTGATCATTTTATGCACCATGGGATAATTCCACTAGTGATTTACTGGAAAGTGTCTGCCAATAAAAAAAAAATACCGTATTATGAGAATCTGCCGAAAATTTGTCTACATGGAATCATGTTTTAAAATATTCTAGTGGCCATTCCAACAGCCTCTATCTACTTTACTTAAAAGGTAAATATTATCACTTTTATATTCACATTAATCCTGTATATAATTATTTTTATATACATTTCACATACTATGAATCATAAAAATTTATAAGAAACACTTACTGGGTAATTTTTTTGGAGGGATGGAAGGATGGGTTCAGGTAGGGCTATAAAAAAAAAAAGTTTAAAGCTTCTGTGATTCACATAATACATTAAAAAAGCAATAGTTTGTCATCTACACCAAAGGTGTGAGACTAATAAAATTTATTATAATTGTTTATGCTAAAATTCACCAGTTTTCACATATTTTGCAAAATTAACTTGGGTTTTTAAATTTCAATTTGAAAGTCATCTATGATGGCAAATGAACAGTGAATTATTAACAGATTATTTCTTATTCAAAGATTAAACAATTCTATAAGTAAAGAGTACTTACTCATTTTAGAACATCAACTCATTAGAACAGGTTTTATTTTTTTAAGGGACACATGAAATTTGGCCAGTATCAGGCATAAAAAAAAAAAATTTTAAGTGTAGTATATTACAGATTCTGTATTTATAAATTTCTAAAAATGAAAAATATGCACCCTTATGTGACCAAAAATAATTTTAAACAACACAACCCAATATTCCTGTCCTATAAAAAGCCTTATACTCAAATGAATGATTGTGTCCCTTTATTATGTAATGGTGCTACAGAGTAAAATCAAAATTAGCATGACAAAAGCTATGCTAACAGTATAACATATACACTGAAAAATCATCTTAAAAATTATTAATTTTGATACTGAATCTTAAAAATAGTGTTGGAAGGAGATCAGAAAAGACATACACCAAAATGAAATATAAAATAGACAGTATTTCCTTCCAAGATAGCACTGTCTTTATATAGTACCACTACATTTTAAAAGTCATTCTTCAGCAACTTTATCCAACTGCATCCTCATCAGAAGCACTGAATCTAATGCCACATCATTGTGAAAGGCTGGAACCCAATATTCCCAAGGAAAAATAACTAAAAAAAAAAAAATCAATATTCAAGCACTCCAACTTAGAGTTTTTCAAGATTTACTTCAGACCAGTAAACTTCACATAGCACCATAAGGCACACTTCAGATATATTTAAGTAATACAATATTCCAATTCTCAGTTATAAACTATATAGCTCTACATCAATATCATACCAAACAATCATAACATTACTTTGTAAATGCTGCTGATCCACTATTTTAATCTGGCTTTTGGCAATGGTTCTCTTAAAAAACAACTCCTAGAAAACATTCATTTGCCTGTGATGGAATAATTTATACAACTCTCTAATGTACTATTCAAAGAGGTTTAACTTCAGTTTCCCTGTATTCATACTTTATAGATTTGTGATAATATGGGAATATGAAAGTTCTTTACTTGCTAAATTTATTAATAAAGACCATATATGCATTCAGAACACATGACAAAAAAACTGGCAGAAAAAAATTATTATTTACTAGTCACATCAGCTAATCTCTAATTTCCTTAGCGTAACAGAAATAAGGGCAAGTCTGTTTGTTTTTTTGGGGGGAGGCATGCAAAATGCTCAAAAATCTAGAGCGCCCTACAAATAAACTCAAGCCCCATTCACTTCAGTTTGAAAAGTCTGTAGGTTAGTACCAAAAAATAAAACAAAAACCACACCTAAAAATTCTGGTTATACTATTGAAAAAAATCATGCAAATCAAGAAATCTCACTGGAAAATAATATATGTATATACGAATTCCTTTTCTGTACTGCTGTCTTTATTTATGGACTATAAATTAACTAAAAACAAAAAATTTAAACAATTAGATTTTTAAAGTGATAGGCTTCTTCCAAGAACAGACTTAGATAAGAAGAGGTTAAAAAATCAAAAACAGCACTGATCACCTGCTAACCTAAAACCCATGAGGTATATTATCTGTAAAGGAAGGGTAATGACTCTCATAAAAATTGTCCCAAAAGACCCCCAAAAAATCCTCCCCCCAAAAAACCCATATAAATCCCCTATCATTCCATGTGACATTTGGATACTGTACAACTGAACTTTTTTACTTCCTTGGGACATTTTATTTATTACATGAGCCATAAAAAATTCTTTGCTAATAACATAAAATGCCCATCACCATCTTTGACGTTTCTAACAATAAGTTAAAATCCAAAGTATTTTTATTTCTATTACCTCATTTATTTTCAGATCCTACCAACTAACAGTATATATAACTTCATTTCATAGGAGGAAAAATTAAAGAAGAGTTTATTAATTTGCTCTAGTTCACAAAATGAGTGTCACTATAGGAACAAAAACTCTGGCCTGCTGATAGAAGAACAGTCATCTGTTCTGTCCATTACAGTGCTCTAAGTCCAAAATGAGATATAATACATTTTAGAAAAATAAATTTCTTACAACTATTTAATCATCACAACCTTTCTGAAATAACGTCAGTTTTTTTAAAAAGATATTTTAATTCTTTCTGGTCACAGTACTATTTGGTAAATTATTACTGAACCATAATGAGAGGGAGGTTGCTTTTAGTGCACTGCAGTTGTAATTTATTACTAACACTCTAGTAAGTAGCCTGAAAGAGCTAAATATTTCCAAAAATACCTAACATATTTCCAAGTTAAGTAGCATAAGAGGAATCTGGCTGTGACATCTGCTGTCACTTTATAACTTTATATTTGCAGATACAACCTTTATAAGTCTTTCTCAAAAAGGCTGAACCTGCAAGTTTTCAATATAGTGGTAAGTAGGAAATGCAAGAAATTCACTTTGCTGAGATTCAGAGAGAGCTCTCTACTTAATTCTCTACAGATTTATGCCCATGAATTTTCCAAACTACATAAAAATATAACTTTTTAAAAACTGAAAAACTATTAAACACTGCTATTTTTACAGCATTTAAAGAAATAGATGTTTAAGCTACATCTTAGTATCTTAACTTTCCCTTTATCAACTAAATCTTAATCTTAAATTTTAAGTCAAAAGGCCTTCATTTTTCCTGATCCTATGGTTCAGATTCCAAGGGGCTAAAGGGGTCAGCTATCTTAACTCACAAGCTTCTATTTTTTTAAAATGATCACAAGAAGTACTTTAGTTTAACTTTTTCTGTATTCGAAATTGCTGCTTTCTTCTACATATAGTAAAAGAAAAACCATAGAAATTTAGGGCTAAGGGACCCTAGTCCAAATTCCTCATTTCACAGACAAGGAAACTGAGTCACAAAGCAGTTAAAAAACTTAAAGGTAATTACTGATCCCCTTTAATGAGAGTGGCTCCTCTCTATTGATTATCTCCAAATTAGTTGTTTTCATGTTGTCTCTCTCATTAGACAGCGAGTTCCTCGAGCACAGGGATTGTCAACTGCCTTTCTTTATACTCACAGAGCTTCGAACAGTGACTGGTACATAGTGAGGATGTAATAAATTTTTACAGACAGACTGACAAGTTAGTTGATGACAAAGGTGAAATTATAACCTATCATCTGACTTCCAGTTCAAAGTCTTGCCTATTAGCTAACACAACTTTCAAGGGCACTTTTCCTTCAATACAATAAAACAGTAGTGTTGACCCCAACACAGTTTACCCACAGAGGAAGTAACTGTCTCTTTTAATCTTTTCAGTCCTTCTAACCCCACAGCTTTCTCTAATTGAGACTGGTTTAATTTGCACACAAAAGTAAAAGTTAAACTTTAGCTCCAAAGATAGCATTTAACTGTCCTCAATTAAAGGATTTTCTTACTTTGCTTGAACTTTTTTGTTGTTGTTGTTGTGATTCCAAGTAAGGTTTCAAAGAACTGGGGGAAGAGATGGTTAATGAGAAATGACTAATGTAACAATTCTGAAAGCAGAATATATGAGAATAGAGGTCCATTTCCAGAGAACAAAACAGGAATATTCTGAATAAAAGTTTAAACAAAGTTTTGAACTACTTTTAAAGGGCCAGGTTCAACTCCAACTTCATACATGTTTATTAGCTGTGTGACCTGAGCAAGTCATCTAACTTGCCTCAGTTTTTTCATCAATAAAATGGGGATAATAGCAGCACCTAAAATCCTAGGGCTGTTGATAGAATAAAATGGGATATTTATAAAGCATTTGCAAATTTTAAAGCACTATATAAATGCTAGGTTTTTTTTTAATACTGTCATCATTATTTTTTTGTATATCATGAGGCAGCTGGGGTAGATAAAGGGCTGACCTCAAGGCCAGAAAGTGTTGGATTCAAGGCAGTCTGACACACACTGACTGGGACCACTGACAACTCACCTAAGCTCTCAGTGCTCCATCTAGGTCAGTGGGGTCATACTCAAAACAGAAATGGAATGCTGAATGCTGGATATTATCTTAGGAAACCACAAATTAACCTTATCTATGTTACATTATATTTTTACTTTATTAAACATTTCCCAATTACATTTTAATCCAGTTCTGGCCCTGCGAAGTTAAAGAGAGCTGTGGACAGAATTTCCTCATCCACGAGTTCCCTATAATAATGAAATCTACAAATCCAGTCCCTATAATACCATGCTACACTGGCTATTATTTTTTTCTAGTTTCAAAGTTACCAGAAGCAGTGCTACCCTGAAGGAGAGGTGATTAATAGTTTGATTGAACAAGCTTTAACTTCAACTGAGGCAGCAAGAGGATTTGGAGGGAGGAAGAGGAGCAAGGTGAAGGAGAAAAGGATCTACAAAATTTCTCCTTGAATTACTCAAGCAAATCCCAATTTTTAAATCGCTATGAAAGTTAAAAGAAATAACTTCACAAAGAACCATTACAAAGTATCAATATGTGTCTTTTGCTGACTGAACTAATGGAAAAAATACACATTGCCTTAAAAGTAAAAAATGTTCCAAAGCTGTTCTATCACATAAAAAAGACTTTCTTTTAATTACCTATGATAGTCAATGGTTTATGGTTCAAGTAGTCTTCAGGTGAAAGTGTGTCATCAAAACAATATATTTCAAATTCTTGTTAGCTCTGAAAAACACGTGCATTTATGCCTGCCCAACTTGAAATGTTTTCACTTAAGCCTAAGCCAATCAACACCATCTGGTGACTGACGAATATAGATCCAAGTTCAAAGAATCAAATATTTAGGGCTGAAAAAGACTTGAGAAAATTCCTCAGCTAATGCCTTCATTTTAGAGATGAGGAAAATGAGGCCAGATGTTCAGCTCCAAGTCACAAAGATAATGACAGAGATAGGATCTGAACCCAGATCTTCTAACTTCAAACACACTCGTTCCACAGTACCAAATTGCCTAATGTTATTATTTTTTATATGTCTTGATCTGATACTCTTCAGATTAAAAAGTACACTTCATGTCTTTACACCATGTGGTGTTATCCCAAAACCGCACTAAGACTTTTGGGATACTGCATAAGCACAGAGTTGTCAAAACATCTGCAAACTTCACCACAATTCTTTCTGCTTTGTGTTGCTAAAAATAAAAAAAAATTTACTTATTACTGCGGAGGATTGAAAAGTTTCTCATTTCTATCTAGTAAAAACAAAAAAAACTTTCTCTAGTTCATAATCATAAATGCATTAATCACATTAAATATGAACTTACTTTTCAAAAGTCCAATATTCAGAACTGTTACTAAAAGATACGATTTTTAAAAGGCTTTCAAAATGCCCTAGCTTTTGGAGTATACCTTAAAATACCAAAACAGAATTAATATTATAACCAAGAGTAGTTTTAATTTTTTGTTATTATTGTTATAATCTTACTGTAATATATAACACCAAGCAGTAGTTCAATAAGAGAAAAAAATTACATTTATAATTCAATTTCCAAGAGGAATACTAAAGTAGCTTTCATTTTAAGACTTTAACTGGCACAGATGATCCCAAACTTCCAAATCACTGGAATGGAAATGACTAACAGGCAGCAAAATACTTTCCAAAATCAGTTAATCATATGAATAACCTAGTCTTCAAAGAACCCTAGCTTGCTAAAATAAAGATTATCTATAGTAAATAACTGAGTAACTGAGGGTAGTGTAAAAAGCATCCCTCACAAATCAGGTATGATATTCTTAGGATTTTTACAAAGATGTTTTGGGAAGTGGTGGAAATTTGACCAAGGGTAAAACCAAATACAAAATGCTTCTGGGTCAAGTAAAGTGAATAGATCAATTTTTTGCCCAAGAAAATACCCTCCAAAAAAAAAAGTACCCACCACTTCAGGTTATCATAGATTATAGAATTTGGGATCACACAGCTCATTAGATATTTAATCTAATTTTCATATTTAATCTTTACATTAGAAATAAATTTCTAAAACTCCAAACTGATTTTAGAACTATAACACTAGAACACCGGGACAAAATAATATATTCATAATATGTAATTAGAAATCTCTTCTCCCATCTACTGAAGTAAAAGCCATTACCAAATAGTTCACTGAAAATTTATTCAAATTTTATGAATGTTTTGGTAGTCAGGCTGAATCAGACCTTTATGTAAAGAAGAGTGCCATAAATTACTAGGTTTCTAAAATCTCCCCATTCTTAAAACTCTCTTTAAGGCCTAATGACTTTATGTCTATTAAATTCAATGGTTTCTTCTGAGTTCTCATTCTGCATTTGCTCTTTCCTTCTACTTCCTGAACTCTACATTCACCTTGGTTTCTAAGACACCTTCCTGACTTTTTTTTTTATCTATTCTATTTTGCTTAGTGACAAATCTTCTCTGCTTTTAATATGTGGATCTCCCAAGGCTCAATCCTTAACCCATTGCTTTTTCTATCAATACTTGCTACCCTGGAAAATTTCTCTATTATCAAACCTCTATAGTGATTAAGTCCCACGAATTTTCATTTTGAGCTGTGACCTGTTCCTTGCATTATTCAGGTGCCTACAGAGCACATAAATTTTTTATATGCAAATACTCAATTTATTATACTACCTTCTCCACAAAACTCAGAACCTTATTCAAACTTCCCCTTTACTGCCACTAGTGCTTCTTCTGCAACATCACTCAGATTAATTTCTTCATCTTTATTTCTACAGTCACCATTATTGTCCAGATCCTCATCATCTCATACCTTTTTAACCGTAACAGCTTTCCAACTAACTTCTTTATCTCTGTTCTTTCTCATTCATCCAACAGTTACTGAGCGCCTAACTGGTAAGCAAGATTAGGGTAGGCATGATGACAAATACAAACATATTCCTGCCCTCCAGGAACTTACACATTAGTATGAAAGATGAGATAAGATATATATACAGAAATTTCAAGTGTCTCTAGTGTACCCTATACACTACTATTATAACCTATATTTATGAAACATGGTATTTTCCCTTACAATCACTTTCTACCACTTCTCAGACCAAATTTAAATTCAACTTGATATTAATAAGAGTTACTAAACTAGTCCCATAACATCAGAGAATAATCCAATTTAGAGCTAGTCTCATGGGACAAAGGACTTTAGATGTCATCCAGTCCAACTTCTCACCCAATGCAAGAAATTTAACTAATGAATTTTAACAAGTTCTTATCAAGTTAAATAGAAAAGATTAAAAAAATTCAAAGCCAAACTATCTTAGCCACAGATGGCTGAATGAAAACACAAATACCTTTCCTTTTGTGAGTATAAAATATATAAATGCAGTAGCATTTTCAACAACAACAACAAAAGGCATATATAACATAAGATTATTTTATGTAGTGAAAAAGAAAAAAATCAATAGTTTACCTTAGGTCAAATTAACCTAATGAATAAATACAAGAATGTACTAAACCTTGTAAATTATTGTAACTACCCTGGTTCTTCAAAAGGAAAGCAAACAAAAAAAAAAGTGAAATAAATATTGTGTCTAAGTAACAAAGCAAAAAACTGCTGTTCACAAATGACAGTATTTCTAAGGTTAGCTTAACTGCTAACTATTTCTAAGGCTAGGTACAGCTAGCTATACTAAAGTAAAAATTCTCATTCTGATCTGGTCATCAGCCTGTCCTACTTAAAAAAAGTTTTCAATACCAATCAGAACTTTCATTAAACTTTGAACAGCGTAAAGCACAAACTCATGTTTACTTATTACTTTAGCCAGAAGTTGTTTCTTCGTAACTGACACAAAAGTAATGATTTGTGCTACAATCGCCCAAAAAACAAGAAACAGAGTAACTGGACACAACCAGACTTTTCATTCTCATCTAACTCAAAACTCTTACAATAAATGAGCCTGGTGATACTCACAAGATCACAGACTATTAGGGCTCTGAAAGCAACTTTAGCCAACAACTGAATCAAAGAACATCAATGATTTCTAACCCATTGTGGGATAAAATTCCTAAATAGGTTCACAGAAATATTATCTAGCTCTTGCTTAACATGAAAAGAACTAAGATGACTGGTGCTTGAGTATATTGAATGGGCTACCTGAGCATCCATTTGCCTCAAAGTAATGAATCCACTACAGATATACTGGTAAAATTCTTTCTAACATATAACAGTGCTGCTAATGCAAATGAGGCTACAAGTGAGAAAAACCGTGAAAGAATAAAAACACAGTCAAACTTCTTTATGTTTTCCAAGGGGTTATTTTTAGTAATACATTCACTGTAATATAAGGCACGTAAAATATTTCTGTAAACCTTAAATGAAGTTTTGGAGAATGTCTCTAGTGTGTAGTCAAGGTCAGTGCAGAGGACATCATAATGAAGTTTAACTGCATTTTAGTTTCAACAGAAGTAGGGAAAAAAAGCCCATCGTACTTACTTTGTAAATAGTGCAAAACCATCAATACAAGACTATAGCTGTTTAATGTGCCACGACTAGCATCATTTATCTCATGGTGACTTGCCCACTTCTTAACCACCAGTACTAAGGGACGAACTCGACTCTCAACTGTAAGTAAAATTAAGACTTAAAAATATTGAAAGAAAAAGATAACGAAATTACTTTGAATGTTTACATAACTTTTAAATTGCATCTGACCAGAAATTTCATACCTCATTATCTACTATCACCTGTACTTATTATAAACTCTACTATTACATATTCTAGAACTAATTTTCAAATTTAACCACATACTATTAAAAAAAATCAGTCTATTAAAATACATTTGCTATATATAAACTTTTGAAGCAAATGATTTCAGAATAATTAATGTGCAACCAGTAAAATGATAATACATGATAAAATATATAACCAAATATAAGAAATTATATCTTTAAAGCTACGTATAAATCAGTATCAGAAACACTTTTGCTCGGTACCACTTAAATTTTAAAGAAAAAAGAAAAACTCACAAATAGAAATAAAATGAGAAAACTTACGATATGCATAGGTTCTGAGGAGGAACGTGTTTCTTATTCCTACAATATTGTTTACATTCAAGTCAAACTCCACACAACTAAAGGGAAAAAAGATGATCAAACAATCAAAATTACAACTTTAAAAAATATCAACTCCCTAGGAACTGATTTAATATTTAATTATGTAAACTAGAATGCAACCAGAGCTCCAAGAGCCATAATTTTAAGGTCAAGGATAGATTAAAAATAAATAAAAATAAAAATAAATTTTTATTTCTATTTTCTCTATTACACTGAGAAGTAAGTAGTATGGGACAGTGGGGTAGGAAAAAAAACACTTCCAGAGGGCATAGCCTGGGCTCTGGGCCTAGCATTTCCTAGCTTTGTGACTTAAGTCAAATCATTTATGTCTTTGAGCATTAGTTTCTTTATCTGTAAAATCAAAAAAATAATATCTGCCCTACCAACTTTGCAAGGTTGTTGAAAATAAAGTGCTTTAAAAATCTCAAAGCATAACAGAAATGAGTTGTTGTAATTAAGTATAAGAAGAATTTATGAAGATTTTAATAGGTGAAACCTACATAAAAGAAACTGCTTTATCACTTTAAAGGGATGCTCACATTTAATTGCTTGACTAGAATCTGGTTATACTGGTTATTACTTTAATGGACTGACTAAAAGGTCAAAAAGATATGAACAGATTATTTTCAAAAGAAGAAACATAAATTGTTAATAATTATTTGAAAAAACACTCAGGATAACTAACAATCAAAAAGAGAAAAATTAAAACAACTCTAAGGCACTTATAAGGCTGCCAAAAAGCAATTAAAACCAATGAAAATCAATGCTGACAAGTTAGAGAGGAACTGGAGCATTCATTCATTGTTGATGAAATGTAAACTCGTAGAATCTTTTTGAAAAGCAATCTGATAATCCAAAGTTACAAAAATAATCATACCCTGGCATTCAATCATTTCATTGTTGGGAATATACTTAAAAAGTTACAGAAAATAAAGAAGAGCTAGCTTTCCAATGGCTGCCACAACAAGATTTTTTGTAAGTATAAAAAGTGCAAACAGCCTTCTAAACTATGGTGCACTAATGTAATGGAATACTACTGAATAATCTAGGGTAACAAGTATGAGGGATAGAGAGAAATATAAAAAGACTTTTATAAAAACAATGCAAATAAAACAGAACCAGAAGAATGAAGCACAGTAATACCCGATCTATGAGAAATGAATGAGAATTAATAGACAAAGAATTATAATGAAATCTTAGAGGGAGTAACTGAAAAACTGTTACAATATTTTAAAACTTTTTTGTATCAGGAACTCTTCAGAATAGTGCTTGTTGCCTACATTTATAAATGAAGGAAATGCTAAATTTCAGTAGGAGGTTAGTAAGAACAAAAATGAACCTGTATGGGGAGAAATTTCATTTGCTATTTACTAAACCAAGTTTAGTTACTTGTATCCAATGTCAAGTTCTTTATAAAACATTTAGGTTTTTTTATCTAAATAACTGCAAAGTGAGTAGTTATACTGAGACTTAATATTTATCATAAATCATTTTAAAAAGAAATAAATGGACTGAGTTATGAATCTAGTTATTACAGGGGTTTTCCTTGTAATAATATTTTCTACGATAGTAAGATTTAGTCTGAATTTAAATATACATTATCTTTTAGAATTTTTGAGCAGTAATCCTACAAACATGTAGCTATAGGGACATGTGGGATTAAAGGACACAACTACAAAGATGAATAAAGTAGTTTAAAAATCTTGTAAATTTTTTCCATGTAAACCAATATTAGACCAAGGATTTACAAATGCAACTATCTCTCATTAAACCATTTCTGTGCAAGCTATCTAATTGCGTTTCATATTCTAAAATAATATGGAACCATAAAAATCATTACTTTAAAATCCATGGGAATAAGAAGGCAAATATCATTCAGAGTAAAATTAAAGGTTCCTGCCAACACATTACAGTGTCCACATGAAGAGAATAACAAATTAATTCATCAAGCAAAACGAAATAGCTCATGCCTTCTGGGAAGGAACAGTACAATAAGAAACAAAAGGGGAATTTTTTTTTTTAAAGCAGGGCATCATGCAAGCCAAGGTGCCAAGAAGCAAAAAATAATGACAAGCCCTGCAAACAATGGCAACAGACCAGAGAGTAAATCCCCTACTATTTATATAGAGTTCAGGTATGCATCTTAAAAACAACACTAAAACAATGCATAATATTCAAGACTACTTCAAATTTATCTACAAGATGCTCATATTTAAGTCAACAAAAATACTCGTTTATAGTCTTTATAAGTGATGATATGTTTATTACTATTCAACATTTTTCTTTTTCAAGTATTTGATAAGTCCTATCATATTTAAATTATCCACACTAACAGAAAATTTGTAGTAATGTAATAATAAAAAATTATATGTATTTAGCTCTGAAATGCATCTTTTTAATAGAAGACTTACATTCTTAATCATGTTTTTCTTAGGCTATCACTGAAATTAATTTGTATTCTCTAAAGACAAAATCTAAAATCTGAAAATAGGAACACAGGTGGAAACCAACCTGGAATTTTAAAATTTTAACACAGATAATCCATAAAGTAATTAATCAACAGAAAAGATACTTAAAGGTTGACTAGTTCAGTAGTTCTTTTTGCACAGTTATTACACATAAAAGTCTAGTACCATAACTATAAAGGATTCAGGGCCTGAATAAATGGGAAGGAAATTTAACTGCTTAGCATTGTGGCATAACCATAATAAAGACATGATGATTCACTCTGTTTAATTTTATTATCTAATGGGCTTCATTTTTACATAAGATAATATGTTAAATTACAATTGCATTTATCTCAACTGTGCCAAAGTAGCATATTCCTGAATGATACACTGAACTGGGCTCAAGTTCACCACACTCTTGAGTATTACTTTATCCCTACCCCTACTCCCCATCCCCTCAAAAGCTTGATTTCTATGAAGCTAAAGTGAAAAGTAAGCACGGTTCATGAATTAGATAAATCCTGCTCCCCTGATACTATTTCACAAATATATTAACTTTTAGGCCAACAGAGAGTTATCAATAAGCAATTACCGTGCCAGTATACTGATACCCTAAAAATTAAGGCACAAAATGCTGATTCTTTAAATCTGATCCAAGGATAAGCTCTTCCAATGACAGAATCGGGTCTATTAAAATAGTAGTGTCAAAATCAAAATAAAAACTGGAAACCAACTATCATATTTTGAACACTTCTGTGCCATTTAAGCATAGCAACTTATGAAAATGCTGAAATGATTTCATTATTTCATTAAATGTGTTCTTTATCATGATCCAAGATTAAATAACTAAATCCCACAGTATCCACAAACTATAATATATGGAATATATAGGGAGTGGGAAAGAAACAAAAGTATGAGTTAAAGCAGAGCAAATAAAAATTCTATTTTGATAGAAAAGTTAGCTTTATTCCAAGATAGCTTCTTACTGTATTAAATGTTTTTATATTATATAATCATGCCTTATGCAGTCTTTATTTAGTTACTTACACTTTCCACCAATTTCATCTCATACTTTGCAATGAGATACAAAAAAGCATGCGCATGCGCACGCACACACACACACACACACACACACACACACACGCACGCGCGCGCCACATAAACTAAATCAATTCGAGGGCAGCCAAAAACCAAAACAAAACATCACTCCTAGAAAAACAAGTTATACACACTCTAAAACTTAAAATTCCACTCAGGAGACCCACCTAAATACTATAGATAAAAATTATTCACTTGCTTTTGCTTTCTTTTTTACATCAGTATAAATTATGTGTGGGTATCATGAAGGGAAAAAAATTTGTAATCAAGTCATATTCATATTATTCAGCACATACAAGCACTGAAATATTCACAACAAATCTATCCAAAGACTTCCCTGCTACCAATTAATGGATTTCCTTCTATATTCAAAAATTAAGATTATGCCTTTGGACTTCTACTTTCATTATTGATAGTGAATTTGCAATGATCATCTTTTTCCAGTCTTTCTACACACACACACACACACACACACACACACTTAAAATATAGCCACACTTGTGACTTTATCTTCTTAGTGCTGTGGTCTACTTTACTACCTAAAGAGACTACTAGACAAGGCTAAATAATTCTAGGGTATAAAGCTCTCTAGTGAATGACATCACATAACCTGACTCCATATTTCATTCTGGAGACCTGCTTTTACAACTTATTTAAAACTCAGGAAGGGATGCTTTTATTTGTAATCAAAAATTCTTCTCTTGAAAATTCTATTCTTAATAAAGATATACAATGGGATGCTAGATGTTTCAAAGATCATTTAACAAGGTGGACATTTTTTCAAATTGGTGAAAGCATCTAATTCACAAAACACAAATGGGAACTGAATAACACCCCAGAAACAAAAGTACTCTGTTCAGATATTCCACAAAAAGGAGTGCCCATAATTTAATAAAAAAGAAATTCTGAAAACTGTTAAGACAAAGGTATCCACCAACAGTAAATAAAAATTAGAGTTAAGCACATTATCTACAAATGATTCAAAGCAAATGAAAAGACAATGTACACTAACTACTTGCCTGACTTTATCCCTGAATTTCACAATTGGCACTTTTGCTGGAATCAGCTGAGGTCTCTCAATGTAGCCTGCTGAAGAAGTAAGAAAAATACGGTGAATACGTTTTAAACATTGATATACTTCTCAGTGCTCCAAGCTCCTCACATACAATTCAAGAGTTTACTATGCTGAAATCATAGCAAATCATACTAAATCATTTTTGACCGATAGAGTCTTGAGAGATAAAGGGACCAAATCGCAGCCCCAGATGACAGCGACTTCTCCATCAGAAGTCTCCTAGCACTCTGCCTGAAAGTCTTTCTTGTACTTTCCTTTTCCCTTATATCAGTTATGGGTACCTGTCTTTCCTCTAAGAATTCTGATTCTGTGTTCAATGGTCACCATAACATAATTAAGGAAAAACTTGCTCAAGTGTATTTGACTGTGAAATTTTTTTTAACCCATGTAATTTCCCTCTACTACATTCTCTAAGTTCTGTTAAATTCACTCTCAAACAGAAGTAGTAATCATTCATGCATTTGGCTGCCAAGGCTACATAATATCCAACGATATCCACAACACTTGGCAAATTTCATCATAAATTTGTTAACAAAGCTTCAGATCAAAGTAAGAGTTAGAGAAGGGAAGTAACCTGTCTCAGGTCTTATGATAAGAGAAGAGAACTATTGAGTCCAGGGCTTTTGTCTCAGAAATACACCTCCATCTAATCTTTGATCTACACCTGGCCCCTGCTCTTCAGCTGCTATTTATGCACCATTGTACCCCATGAGAATGTAAGCTTCCTTGAAGGCAAGGATTATCTTTTCTTTTTGCTTGCATTTGTATTCTTAGAGTTTAGCACAGTGCCTAGTGCATAATAAACACTTAATAAGTGTCAGTTGACTTAACAGTGGTACCTTCCCATTTATTAAAGAACAGTAAGTTACACCAAATCACCTAGCCAACACCTGGCCTACCCTGAATTTTTATTTCAAAAATACTTTTGAAATAAAAATCCATGAGTTAAGTTTGAGTAAGTTTCACTGTGATTAGTGCCATTTCCAAAATATCTAAATAAGAATTCAGCATAGAAACAGGAAGAACTTGGCTCAAATAGTGTCACTCGATTCCAAAAAAGTTAACATTAAATCCATGTTTATTCCGAAAAGAAATTACCACCTCCAAAAAGCTTTTTCGATAAAAAATGCCTGATTCTACAAAACGGGCAATGCAAATTGACTTTGTTATCCTTTATTTAGTTACTTTAAAACAAATAGAAAACAATGACAGGTTTCAAAAAGAACTTCATCAAAAATTCAAAATACTAATTCAATTCAATAAGTATTTACTAAATGCCTACTATGTGCAAGGCATTATGCTAGCCCACAACGATACAAAAACTATGAAAATAATCCCTGCCCTCAAGCTTACATTCTATTGGGGAGATACATAGTACATACATAAATAAAATTAGTACAAGGAAAACTGAGTGGGGAGAAAAGGCAAATTAAGATAACTATTTCCTATACTCAGTTTTATCCTTTAAGTTCTTTCAAAGTAAATTCATAGTACAGTATTTTTTACCTCCAAAATTAACTGGGCCTCAATTTGCTCATCTGTAAAATAAGGAGGTTGGACCAAATCTATAAAAAATAAAGTTAGACTAGACGTCATCTGAGGTCTCATCTGGCGCTAGGGCTATGTTCCTACTATACATATATGAGGTATTTTCTAACTTTAAAACTCTGAGGTTCTATGATACAACAATAATCTAATTTCTTTATACAAAACTTTCAGTCTCAAACTTAATTATCAAACTTAAATCTCTACTATTAAATGTTGGCAATTCACTTACTGATGAAATATAACATTACAACCTAATTTTATGCAATGTAAATGCTCAAGCAAAAGCAGAAAGAGGAGAATTAAGTGGGTGCCAGAAATATGGAGTCATGGGATCCAGAGGTACTAGAGAAAGTACTCATCATCTGTTTCCCCTCTATCTTCTCAAGCCTTTCCTAATTCCCTCATTTGCTAGTGCCCTCCTCCAAACTGTCAAATTGTCATGCATATTTGTGTGGGTGTGGGTGTGTGTCCTGTACTCCTGTACTTAGTCATCTGTGACCATATATTATATACCTTAGTAGAATATAAACTTCTTAAGGGGAGGAATTAACACCTTTGTAACTAGCACTGAGCACGGTGTCTGAAACATTACAGACCCTTATTAAAGTTTTGCTGATTGATAAACAAGGAGCAGAGAAAACAGGAGGAGAACCAGAACAATTTAAAAAGTACGGGTCTCTGACTGATAGAGAAGTTCCTAGGATATAAGAAACGTAGCATGGTAGCCAATTAAGAAAGGAAGATAATATTGTTAGGAAAGTTCTGAGGTTTCAGAATAACTTCCAGCATCACAACACGTATTACACAAAGAGCAAGCCAATTAACTTAAAGGTTTTCCTTTACTCCAAGTTCTCTATTGTCGGGTGTTCACTGCCCTTTCTTCTGACCTTCTCCTGCCCTTTCCTGTTTCTATCCCTTTGGTCATGCAATCTCCTATACATAGAATGGCTTCCTCTTTCTCACCAATACCATTCTTCATACCTTTCTAAGATCCAAATCTCACATTACCTCATCCATGAAAACTCCCATTGCCAACTAGTAAAAAGTACTTCTCCATCCCAAAAATTTCTTGTGGTACTTTACCTGTACCTTTCTTTTGTGCTGATTTCACTTGTCCTTGTCTTATTGTTAATAGTGTATTTTATTTCTCCCATTTGACTATAAGTTTGAGTTCAGAGCTTGTTGGGTCAATCGATCAAAAAGCACTTATTAAAACACATACCATGTGTTAGACATTGTGCTAGTTATTGGAGATGAAATATGAAAAATGAAACAATCCCTATTTGCAAAGTGCTTACATTCTTCTAATGAGGGAAATGTATCCATGACTACATCCTTGCCCTATACCTTGCATGTAACAGGTACTTAATGGGATCAAAGATTTAGAACAGAAAAAGACCTTCAAAATTCTTAGCACAGTGCCTAGGTGCTTAACAAATATTTATTAATTTATTGACCTACTCCAACCCCTTCATTTTACCCTTCTTTCAAGGAAAACAAGACCCAGAAAGATTTAAATGATTTGTCCAAAGTCACACAGGCCTGTTGTTGTTGTTTTTCAGTTGTTTCAGTCGTGCCTGATTCTTTATGACCCCATTTGGGGTTTTCCTGGCAAAGACACTGGAGTGGTTGGCCATTTCCTTCTCTGGCTCATTTTATAGATGAGGAAATGAGGCAAACAGTGTTAAATGACTCACCCAGGGTCACGCAGCTAATAAGCACCTGAGGCCACATTTGAACTCAGAAAAATGAGTCTTCCTGACTTCAGGCCCAGGCACTCTATATACTGCACCACCTAATTGCCCTTATCACACAGGTTATTAAGTGGCTGACCTAGGATATGAACCTCAATACTGACCCTAAATCCAGCCCTCCTACTACAAGGGTCAGCAAACTACCGCCCCATGGACCAAATTTAAACACTGCCTGTTTTTCATAGCCCATTTTTCAATACTGGTTTTTAATTTTTAAATACAGATCAAATGCTACTTTCTCAATCAATCAACAAGCATTTATTAAGCAGTCTACTATACGCAAAGCACTATGCAAGGCAATGGGTATACAAAACAAAAACATAAATACACCCTGACCTCAAGAAAAGTACATTCTATTGGCGAAAACATACCTATTACAAGATAATTTTCAAGAGGAATGGCAGCTCATGAGATCAGGAAAGGCTTCAAGAAGGCTGCATTTGCAATAAGCCTTGAGAGACAAAGGATTTCAAGAGGAAGAAATGAGGAAAGAGTATATACATTCCAGTCATGGTGAAAAGCCAGGGCATAGTGACAGAAGGTGGAGTTCTGAAAATCACAAGAAAGCCAATCTGTCTAGACTAAGGAGTGGACAACAGTAAGTATTTTGTAATAAGGCTGTAAAAACAGTCAATGCCAGGTTTTGAAATGCCAAACAAAATGTATTTTATCCTAAAAGGAAGATGGAACTACTAGAGTTTATTGAGTAGAACTGACATGTCAGATCCATGCTTTAGGAATATCACTGTGTGAAGGAAGGAAGAGCTGAAAGAGGGGAGGCAGGATGACCAATTAGGAGGCCAGATGAGAAGTGATGAGGGCCAGAACTAGAGTGATGGCTGTTTGAGAGGGGGAAAGTGACAAAAGAGATACTGTGGAGATAGGATCAAGAAGATGTGGCAATTACCTGAACCTGTGGGGTGAGGGAGAGTGAAGAGTTGAGGGTAGACGGTGGTGCCGCCAACAGAAACAGGGAAGTTGGAAAGCAAGTGGGTTTTAGGGCAAAGGTAAGTTCTGTTTCAGGTATATTGAATCAGAAACATCTGCTAGACGTCTAGTTCAAAATATCCAACGGACAGTTGGTGATGTGGAACGGGAGTTCAGAAGGCAAATGGACTAGAAGGATAAATCAAAGGAGTAATCTGCATAGAAGTAATTAAACCCATAGAAGATGAAGTCACCAACTGAGACTGTAGAGAGAATAAGAGGATGCAGGACAAGGTTTTAGGTTTTTCTTAATTACCACAGGTGGCATTATAGTTATGTGATTGTACCGTGTAAGCTAGCTATTACAACAACTGTGTACCATAAGAGGTATTTTGTCACCTACTTCTTATAGCTCTTCACATACATCTTATCTCCTCTATTAAACAGTATAGTAGCTCTCAAAGGAGATAGTGTATATAAATTGTATATAATGTAGTATGTACTGTATATCAATTGTTCTGGAAAACTTAAAAAGTGCCACATAAATGTTGGCTATTGTGAGGGGCAGTCAAGTGGTACAATAGATAGTGTGTTGGAAGACTCATCTTCCCGAGTTCAAATCCTCATACACTTAGTAGCTGTGCGACCCTGGAACAAATCACTTAACCCTGATTGCCTCAGTTTTCCTCATCTATAAAATGAGCTGGAGAAGAAAATGGCAAACCACTCAGTATCTTTGCCAAAAAAACCCAACCCAAATGGGGTCATGAAGGATCAAACATGACCGAAAACGACTGAACAATAATATTAACTTCAGAAAAAAGGTGATATCACATATTGCTATGTCTCCCACAGCATCTAGTAGAAGAAGTTAAATAAATACTTGTGTTAATAGAATCATCATTTCTCATATATACAAGTATGCTAGAATTCACTGGAAAAATAGAATTAACTTTACTGGAATACATATCATTTACAACATCATGGAGATATGGGGCAATATATGAATTCAAAGCATCTGAGACTTACAAAGTCTAGTACAGAAATGTTTTTGGACTAAGCTGAGTATATATCTTGCTTCAGTCTTCTGATTTACCTGAAAAAAATATTAAAAAGGTATAAATATACTTTTTCACACCCTCCTCATTTTCCATACCTATTCTTTAATTTAAAGAGAGTATAATTTTTAAGAAAGATTCTAAAAGAACTGAGTTTTTATTTTTTCTCAAGTTTGAAATATATACACATAAATCTTATAACCCTTAAAAATTTCTAGATCACATTTTGAATTTTAAACCTAAATTTGAATTTGAAGGTGCACAATGAAAAGTAATCATGTAGTTCCTTCGAACTAAAAAAATTATGAAAAACAACCATATTTCTGACAAAATAGAATACTAGTCTAGATTCCATGAGTTGTTCACGTATTAGCAACCACAAAATTCAATGAGAAACACTAATAAATAACAAACTAAAACTTAAAGAGCAGAATGATAAAAATTTTTTTTAAATAATCTAAAGAAAAATATTGCAATCAATTACAACTGAAGAATATGTTAAATTCACAATTCTGGTCAAAAGAGTCATACTATGGGCTTACCAATTATCAGGGAATTAAATACAATAAAATAAATTTAGCCTTGTTAAAATTAAGGAAGCCCTTATTCAGTGAGACAGGAAAAAAAAGTCTCAGAATCTTATCGTGCCTGCTGGGTTGTCATTATGAACATCAATTACCATTGCACCATAGATCGACAAGAGTGTTTGTTAATGGAATATTCTACTTAAAAGGATGCCTGATAACCTAGTTTGATACACAAGGAGAATAAAGAATATAGCTTATAGCAAAACTTACAGAGAAAAAATATACTAGAGTTTTTTATTAAGAGTCTAGTGAAGCTTTAATTAAAATTGTAATGCATTCTTAACTGAACCTTTTGCAGTCTCCTTTAACATTTCAGAATTATTTTCTCACTTTTTACACTATTCCAAATGCCAAAGAAATACCAATTATTTTCTGGAACGAGTCATTTTTCTGACTTGCAGTTACTAAAAGCCATTGTTGTCAGGGGAATCATGGAAATTACTAGTGAAAATTCTTATTACTCAATTTTTTATTACCCCAAATAATGAGAAACTTTCTAAATGTCAAAGAAAATAAATATGGGGGCAGCTAGATGGTGTGGTGGATAGAGCACCAGCCGGAAGACCTGAGTTCAAATCTGTCCTCTGACACATAACACTCATTAGGCTGTGTAACACTGGGCAAGTCACTTGACGCCAACTGCCAAATAAATAAATAAATAAATGAATGTGATATGCCATTACTAAAAATCTAAGTTTGGAGGAAATAGAGCCCAATTTTTTTAAATCTAATGTTCTTTTCTTTCCTGTATACCATAACCCTGCTCAGTGATCTTCCAAAACAGAAGCTGCTTCAGAAAAATGCACAGAAGTGATAGTTATATCACTTTCTGACTCTAAAATCATATATGATATTGGGAGTGCTGTAACTTCTGGTTAACTTCTGTAACTTCCTCCTAACTGTGCCTTAAGAGAGAATGCATTTTCCAGCTTCTCTTAAAGTTATATATAAGCTAGAAAATATTAGCTACTAATAAGAGATCATTACAGTATACTTTAGCTAATATTTATATTTTTGTACGGCTGACCTTGATAACAGAAATTTTAAAAAAATGTTTAGTTACTTACTGGCTCCTCCTTAACAACCAGGCACAAATCACCATCACTGCTCCTTGTACCAAATCCATTCAAGGAGGATCCAACCAAGAAGAGTCTGCTCTCTAAAAAAACAAAGCCATGGAATTATAAAATATAATTTAGTTATTAAGTGATGCTAAAATTTTAAATATAAACATGATTAAGGATACACAAAAGAAAACATACGTGGAAATATCAGTTGAATTTCTCTCTGCAATTGAGTTCGACAGAGTTCTTTCTTCTTCAAATCACATGTTCGCTGCTGACACACTTGAAATACGTTCAATACCTGCTGACTCAACTTTACACCCCCCCCAAAAAAAATACTTTATAAATTCTGTATTTTCAGATATTTAAAAACTCCTGTTCAAAATTTTAACAAATCTATTATATTCAAGTATTATTTAACAAATCTGCCTATAAAATGTGTTCCAGCTGCCTACTATCATCTTAGTATTCTTTAAAAGTCTATTTCATGTTCTCAAAACCCACAAAGGCATATCTCTATGACTTTTCTAAGTTTCATGGATAGAAGGGACCCCTTTATGGGTTTTAATTCCTTCCTTAAATGGGAGAGAGAAAGGGGAAGGGAAAAGGTTTAGACAAGACTGCAAGTGTTAACATAAATCTGCCAGTAAGGCATGTGACAATTTCATCATCACATTGCCTCTTTTTCAGTATGTAATCAACATTCAAAAGTTCAATTAAATACACATTTATTAAGTACCTACAGGTACTATGCTAAGTGCTGGGAATACAAATGTAAAAGGTAGACAGCCCCTATCTTTGAGGAATTTACATTCTCCTGTAGAGAAATATTTACACAAAAAAGTAAATATAAAATATATACGAAGTAAATACAAAGTATTGGTGAGGGCCAATATTAACACTGCAGAAATCAACATAAGATTAAAGTATCCTCCAATTCTAACATCTTATGAATCTATGGCCAATGTTAATCATACACAAATACACATCACTAACAATAGCCAACTGAGAATTCAAATCCTGCTTCCAAAGACCAAAAAATTCTAATCATTTTGAACACATGTTGAGTTTACATAGATAATCCAGCACAATCTGATCTCTACTTTGATATTAAGAGTGCTAAGCCATCCACTCCAAGACAATCCCCTGACACACTAACACTAACACCTCTTCTTATTTCAACTTATTTGTAAGATCCTGACATTGCTATGTTAAATCTAGAAGCAGGACCTCTGATACCCATCTCTTAAAAAAAAAAAAGAGGGAAAAGTTAGTGGAGATATTTTGAAAACAATTTCTCCTAACAGTTACAATCTATAGAGAGGCAATAATCACTAATAAAGAGCACACTAGAATTCTGGTACAACAATAAAATATGGATTATTTGTAGAAAGGTTAGACTACGGAGAGCTGGAATGGTAAAGATGAAGAAAACAGAAAATAACCCAAAATAAAAGACCTAAGGAAACATTACTATTTAGGAAGGAAAAATAAGGCTTAAGTAATTTAGTAAAAGGCTTAAAGTATAGCAGGTTACATAAGATACCAACTACTTGTTTCTCATCTCTGCAGACAAAGAAAGTAGACTTTAATGGCAGCTTCAATCATCTGAGATATGCATGAGGGAAAATGTCTTGACTGTTATATTTCTTTAAAAATAATTTATATAGCCACAAATGGTGCATCTGATTCTGGTTCACCTTACTTAACACTATTTCTCATCACTACACCTCTATGTTTCAAACAAACTAGACTACTCTGTTTTGTTCCAAACTGTCAATCAGTCAACAAGCATTTCTTAAGCAATTACTACACGACACATATTGTACCAAGCCCTGTTGGTATAAAGAAAGGCAAAAGGAGATGGCATCTAAATAACTAGATTTATACAAGTTAAATATAGAATAGACAGGAAGCATAATATGGAAGGAGAAGGCTCTAGTAGCTGGGGCTGTGGGGGAAGTTTAGGAGGAAAGGTCTCCTGAAGAAGGTGGGATATGATATGATATGATTTTTAAAGGAAGCAAGGAAAATTAAAGAGGTAGAGATGAGAGAGCAAAAGCATTCCACAAGTGAGGGACAGCCTGTGCAAAGACACAAACAGAAAATGGGATGTGCTATTTAAGAAACTGCTATGACAGTAGCACAGCTGGATCAGAGAGTGAAGGAATGGGAGCAAAGTATCTGGAAAGATAAAGAGCTGTAAATGACAAACAGAGGAGTTTATCTCTGCTGCTGGAGGTAATAAAAACAAGAGCTTACTGAGTAGAATCAGACCGGCTACTTTAGAAAAACTACCTTGGTAGCTAGGTAGTGGATGGATTGGAGTAGAGAGAGATTAGGAAAAAGAAGACCAGTTAGAAAGCTATGGCAAAACAGGCAGCTGTGACACGATATGCCATAAAGTTAGAAATGGTAAGACTCTACAACAGATTGGGTACACGGGGTAAAGTAGAATGAGTAGTCGAAGACAACACCACAAGGCTGGATGACTAGAATGGTGGTACCTTTTACAGTAATAGGGAGTTCTTAAGAAAAGGATATTTGGAGGAAAGATAGTGAGTTTTATTTTGGATATATTGAATTTTTGATGCAGGACATCCAGTTAGAGATGTCCAAGAGGCAATTGGTGAGATAAGCCTGGAGCTTAGCAGAGAAATTAGGGCTGGAGATATAGATCTAGGCATCATCTTGCATAGAGATGAAAACTTAACCCATAGGTGCTGATAAGACCATCAAATGAAATAGTATAGAGCATCTACTTCCCAAGGTGGTTCTGAGGACGAAATGAGATAATGATAAAATAATATGAAATAAGTGAGATAATTTGTAATTTTTCTAATAATTAATTATTTTCTAATTATTTAATGCTAGAATTACAGCACATGATAGCTAATAATAAGCACTATATAAATGTTAACTATTATTATTGTTGTTGGACTTCTTATTGTTATTATTAAAGGAAGAAAAGAAGAGGGCCCAGGACAGAGACATAGGGACATCCACAGTTAGTGGGTATGACATGAAGAGCCAGCAAAGGAGAATGAAAAGAAAGGCTGAATAGACAGATGAAATAAAAACAAACAACAACAACAACAACAAAAACCCAGGAGAAAGCTGTGTTACAAAAGCCTTGAGAGGGCAAGACTATCCAAGAAGGTAAGGTGGTGATCAACTGTGTCAAAGATTACAGAAAAATGAAGAAGGGTGAGGACCAAACCGTTCACTGAACTCAATACTCCAACCTATGCGCCTGCATGAACTACCTATTCCTAGAACAGATTTTCTCAGATTCTCTTCCTTCTTTAAGGCTCAATTCAAATTCCACCTCCTCCCTGAAACTTTCTTTGATTCACTCATTAGTGTTCTCTCCCTCCTCAGTTTTCCATATAACTATTTGTGTATATGTTATATCTCTCTCCCTGAGCATGTCCTTGAGAACAGAGATAGGTCTGTTTCTGTAGTTGTACTCCCAGCCCCCAATACAGTGGCTTGAACATAGTATGTGCTTAATGCTTGTTGAATTAAACTGAAATTATCTAATTTTAGAAATTTAAACTCAGACCCCACAGGGTTTCATCTGTCATCAGATTTTCAAATTAAGAGTTATATATTTATTTATAATTATAAATATGCACTACATTAATAATTACATTATTAAAATTACACAAAAGTGGAAATTAAAGGATGACAAATCCTGAAATCAACAGAGAATCACTAGATTTAATTAGTAAAGAGTCACATGATCAGACCTATGCTCTAGGAAAATCATTTCAGCAGCTATGTGAAGATAAATTAGAGACGGGTAAGTCTGGAGGCAAAGAAACCAATTAGGAGGGCACTACAATAGTCCAAGTAAGAATAAGAGGTGGTGAGAACCTGAACTGGGGAGAAGACCCTGTAAGTGGAGCAATAGATTATGTTGTTGGAGGCAGAAATGGCACAACTTGGCAACTGACTGGATATGCGGTTTGGGGGGAAAGTAAGGAGTGAAGTGTAACAACATCTAGGTTGTAGACCGGGGTGACTGGAAAGGATGGCAGTGCTATGAACAGAATAGGAAGTTTGTTTAGAGGTAAAGGTAACAGAATAGAAAGCCATCCATTCCTCCTAATCTCTGCTTTTCAATCTTCACCACCAAAAAATGAATAATGAGGGGCCTAGGACCTTATTAATTACCAGTCAATTCACACAACCTCCCTCTGCCCCTACACAGCACACACATACACATACACACACACACACACACACACACAGAGCACTTACTACATGCCACTGTGCTAACCCCCTTATCATTATTATCACCATTATTTCATTTGTTCCTCACAGCAACCCTAGGAGGTAGGTGCTATTATCCTCATTTCACAGATAAGAAAACTGAGGCAAACAGAGGAAGTGACTTGCCCAAGATCACACAGCTAGTAAGTGTCTGTGACCGTAGGGAGTGGGCAAGGGAGGAGGAAGTAAAATGTGACCTACTTCTTATTCCCTAAATGACTGATCACACTCTCCCCTAAAGTCACACCTTGACCCTAACTTTGGAGACCACTGTTTTGGACCATGAATGACTTGGAGCTGGGCTAATAATCAATCTTCTGTTAGCTACCAAGGGCTCAAGGGTAGAAGCTCCAGTTATTAGAACTGTACATAAAATAAGAAAGAGGCTCCAAGGTAAGGCTTTCCCTACAGAGCAAGGTTCATGGTGGTTTAAGAGATCAATTATTGAACAGTCATTTATTAAACTGCTTACTATGTACCAGGCACTGCGCTGGGCATACTAAGGGGCAAAAACAGTCCTCGCTCTCAGGGAGCTCACATTCTAATGCAGGAAGTAGCATACACACTTCCATTCTACATTTTAGTGATTTTGTAAATAGACTGAATAATATTTACAATATTCTCTCTTCTGAACTCCAGTTAAATATCTTCATCCACTTACTATATACATCTCCTCCTGGATAATCCACAGGCACCTCAAACTCACCTTGTCCCAAAAAGAGAATTAAGTATCTTTCACCTGAAACCTACCCCTCTTGAAAACTTATTTCTGCTTAAGAGTGTTCCCAAAGAAACCTCAGAATTGTCCTTGACTCTTCCTTTTCCATCAATCTCTACATCCAATGAGTTGCCAAGTTATTATTAGTTCTCCATCTGCAGTATCTCTCAAATCCATCTTCTTCCTGTCACTCACAGCAACTACCTTCAGGTTCAAGACCTCTTCATTACTTACTTGGACCACTGTAATAGCTTCCTAATTTGTGTCCTTCCTTCTGGACTCTCTTCTCTCCAAAGCATCTTCCACAAAGCTATGAA